AAATATAAATCACAATTTAGATTATGTTTGTGTTTGAAACATGTTTTTATTTTTTAAAAACTTTGTCTTCAAAAAATAACATGAGTTTAAAATCTCGGCCATAGATCTAAATCTAGATTCTGAGCATAACTTCTTATTTATTATAATTATTTTGCTATTTACCTATCAATAGGTGTCACAAATACTATCAAAATATATATCGTTAATACCTTTCTTGCAGCTCAATAAAAATTACTATATATTTGAAGTGTAAAATAATTTTAATAGATTTCATTTTATATTACAAAATAATTATAAGGATTGATAAAAAAATCCATTAGATATAAGATATGAATTTAATGGGGGAAAAATTTAAAATTTAAGTTAAATACTTTACATTTAACATTTTACAACTATAATTGAGTTATAATTATTTGATTATCGACTTATATACAAACCAATAAAAAAAAGTTAGGCATTAAATTTATAAGATAACAACAATTTATCCATAAAAACAATTGCCAATAAAATCTTTTATAAAAAAATCCACGTTTTACAACCCACACAATACACAGTAAATACATTATTTACAATATAAATCTCAATTATCATAATCAGCTTCTGGTAAATGTAATTATTAAAAATATATTTTTAAATTACATTAAAAATTTTATGAAATAAAAACTTGAGTATCAATGCAATATACGATAAAATTTTATTTGAATTATGTTTACGGCTAAACACTGTATATAAATATAATACAGTATTTTATAAAATATATATTTTCTTTATGTTTCATTGTTTAAATAATATTGAATGACACAAAATATTAAGTATCCCCTAAATTTTATACCCTGATATTTATAATACATTTGCATACATAATCTATTTGTATACTAACTATTGAAAGGTATTTTGATAAGTGATATTTACCTCTGTATCTAATTTTCAACAAAATAAAGGAAAAAAGGGAGACAACAAAATAATATGAATGCATAACAAAAATATATTATATAATAATAGAAACTACGAGAAAATGAGAGGGACTGTCGCGTGCAGGTAAAGTTCAGGGCGTATACACACACATGCATTATGTAATATACTATATGTTTTGATATATAGTTTATACTGTATATAAATTTATATGGTATGAGTTGAAACAATAATTCTGCATATCATATGGCAATAAATAAGTACAGGTATTATATTGTGTTTTTCAAATTGTATAAAATGATATGTATAAAAAAGACACATAAATTGAGTTCATTATAGATTTATTATGGTTAACATTACATTATGGTTTGAGCAAGGTGCTTTTATTTATACCGGTATATTAATTAGTTTTTATGTTCAATATTTAAAAATATAATTAATAATTATATAATTTTATAAGTTACATATAAATTTATATGTATTTTTAGTATAGATTAGTATTTACTGTAGTGTATATCTGTTGAATATTTTTATTTATAAATAAAATAATAAAATAATTTAATTATGAGATTTTAATTACATCTTCAATAAATTTGTTATAAAACAATTTTTATAAATAATGTTTAAAATAAAATAAATAAATTATTTATTAAAACAATTTTATATGTTATTTAACAAAAATTTTCATGTAAACATTTTTAATCAAACAAGTACTGTATTATGTGTTAAAATATTACAAATGTTAACATAATATTTTTAACAAAAACCATTTATTCAATATTTTTCATTAGTTATATATTTAAAACAATAAAACATAATTTATTCAGATCTTTACACAAATGTGTTTTCATTATTAATTAACGCATAAAATACAGTACACATAGTTAGATATAATATAAAATGTAAGAGAGATTATAGCAAAAAATTTTCAATTATTCAAATTAATATTTCAATTAGTTTTAATGGATTTTCTGATAAGTGATAAGCACTTTATAGTATATAATATTTAACTTGTTATACAAATTTATATTTACAATTGCTTTGCATGTTATATGTTAAGCGTAAATATTAATGAAAAGAGTAACTATAGATAATCACAATAGAGGTATAGATTTAATATAAAAAGAGATACACTGTTATTAGGAGATGGAGATAGTGTGATATAAATGGTGTGAGCGATGATCGGGTATTCAAATAAATACTAAACTAATGAGATTGTGTTTGTATATATCGATGACATCATTTCCATCAGTACTGTGCTTATTCATCGACACATTTACTTCAATACAGATAAATAAAGTCTCATTTGTGGACAAACATATACTCAAACAAATAATACTATTGAATGTAAGAGAGAGAGAGAGAGAGAGAGAGAGAGAGAGAGAGAGAGAGAAGCAACTATTATTTGACAGATGGGAGAGAAATAACAGAAAAATTATATTGCATTTTATGGTGTATTTAATTATTAATACACAAGACATTGGTGTCTGTCATATGTATGCATCTGAAGCTCTGTTGCCGTATAATACAAATACTATTTGAAAATAAATATATATTATTGTTATGATTATATGATAATATATATATATACTGTATATACTTTGCTTAATAATTGACTTTACTTTGTTTATAGCTATTGTCATCATCAGTAGTGTGTATTAGTGTATGTATTCCCAGTGCCAATAGCCGAGTGCAATACCAACCCTATTCTCATTAGTCTGTCCTCTGAACACATCATTCATTTGTTGTGTTGGATAATAACAATAGCGATCACAAACACACTCACAGCTTATAACAAAACAAACAATCAATTGTTTTATTTTTATTTTTATATATATTTTTCTACTTCAATGATATCCCTTTGATATATATTTGTGATTAATTATTCAAAAATCAATTAAAATTATATTAAAATTTGTTTAAACAAAATTTTCACATATAAAAACATATATTTATATATTGCTTTATTATCAAAATAATAAATACAAATATTAACAAATACAATATATTCACAAATTTACATTAAAATTAACAATAAATTTATAAAATTCCTGATATGCTATAAATTGTTTGTTCAAAGCTAATGAAATATGGTTTGAATCGTAATATTTGTCAAAACTATACAACTGTTAATATTATATTGCTCTCCATCCATGTGCTCCCTGTGCTCTCTAAGCTATACTTTCAACAAAATTTAGTCTATTGTTAATTTTGCGCAAAACTTTTGGTATAAATGTCAGTGAATTAGTCAGCTTTTGGGTGAATATTAAAGCCCTTTTTGGTCACAAAATTTCGGTGCAAAACAAGGTCTAGAAAATTAAATGTAGAGTCCATCTGAAACTATACTAACATTCATCAGCTAATATCCATCAATAGTACTAATAATTAGTACAGAGAACGGGTAGGGCATCGGTATATAGTAGCAAATGACTCCTACTATAACTGAATTAGTGTTTGTTGTTCAACAAAAAAAGGAAATTTAGACAATGAATGGTATAATGTTTTCAAGTCATTCAATATTAAACACATCTCTCGCTAGATATCTATGTTTACAATCAGTGATGGATTCAACTTCTGTCTCACTTTGTATACGAGACACCACTCCATAAGCATCACTATTACCATCACTGACACTAACTTTCATTTTCACCGTAAGTCCACTCAAACGGTAGTATCCCTGGCGTGTGAAATATTAAACAGAGAGAGAGAGAGAGAGAGAGAGAGAGAGAGAGAGAGAGAGAGACCATACAATATATAAATAGTAAAATACACAACTTATCCAACGGCAAAGTGATTCACAATACATTTAATACATTTTGTTAATAAAAATAGCAAAAGTGTACATATATTATACACTCTATTGCCTCAACAATTATTATAACACAATCCTATGTTATATTACAAGTGGTGTATAGCATATTCATGTGTTATAATATATTATTGTATGGTATATATAGATATAAAGCACATCATAAAAATGGCAGTAATAATAATAACATCAAAAAAGTAACCAAAAAACCAATACTGTACAAGGATTGCATTAAAAAGGATACAAAACTAGATTTTTTAATACTTGTCTGGCATATCATAGTGTATAATATCATAATAGTATTTAATGATAGCATCGGTAACACACAATGTGTTGTATATCATATATTATACCACTATTGTTATTCAACTCTACTCTCTCTCTCTCTCTCTCTCTCTCTCTCTCTCTCTAAATGTCATATGTTTAGGAAAAGAGAGAAATAGGACAAACAGTATAACTATGAGTTGACCGTCCATTTGGTCCATACATTTGAGAGGTTTTCTGTTTACTGTTATTGAATAGTCTGTATAACAGACCACTCATTGTTACCTAAATAAAGACTGCAATCTATAGCTTACTGTCCGATAATAGTGTCGCGACGACAAAAATTTGCATAAAAATATGCTATATTTGAGGCAAAACTAAATTTCATAAACTATTTGCAGAGTTTGCTCTCTATTTTAGTGAAGGTGTTTGTATAACAAGGGTTGAGTTTAACACTAAACTAATAATTTATTTGCCAAAACTTTTTGCTTAATTATTGAATTGTTGACTTTCAGTACATTAAACTTAACAAAATTACAAAAAAATAATGTACACAAATAATAATACATATTTCATATAGTTTTTTGCTTGAATCATAGCAATCAATACTATATACCGGTAAATATATATTTATTTTGACAAATTAAATAAATTCAAAAATCTAATATTTATATCAATAAAACTTATTAAATATTTATGTATAATATATATCTATCTAAATATTTTTTTATTATAAAATATATTATTTGAAATGCTACATGTTAGCTTATTTTAATTATATAATTTTAATATATATAATCATATCCTAATAGAAAATGTATGTATCATGCTAAATTATTAGATCATAATTATACATGCAATTTTTTAACACATTTTTAACAGTTAGAAAAACTGTTTAGTCATATAATTTGTATTTATATAATGTATTTATAATTAATTTTATTATTATAGCATAACTTATTATACATTGAGATCAAGTTTAGATTACTTGACACTTGATATACGGTATAAATACCTTGAATAGTGTGCGCCAAAAGTGATGGCAAAAGTATTGATGTGATTGTGAATATCAAACATAAATCCATTAGACATGACATCATATCCTCAATTAATGCAAGGGTTTAAATGTTGCTTTAAATCCACTGAAGTGTGTAATAATCCATAAATAAGTTCACATTATAGTTAAATTAGAGATTATTTTCAGCTAATTTTAATTTAATAAAGTTTTGTTCTTATATCTAAATCCCATCAATTATTGCAATGATATATAAAGTCAAACACACTGTATATACACTTAAACTTATTATTATAATATAAAGTTAATATCATATACTATATATTGACTGTTACAGTGAATGATAAACACTGTTTCCAATGGAAATACACTGAAAACTGTATGAAGAGAGCATTGAGACACTCGTAGACCCGGTATCTGACAGTCGGAGAGAGGAGTTAAGCACCGTTTGGCTGGCGATACAAACAGTGCATGCGTTCAGTCGGTTATACAGTATATACAGTACTTATATCTAATATAATATAAATACAGTGAGTCTTCATTGGTTGTGAAGATAACTCATGGATCGACATCTATATGACATTTGCTAAATCAATGAAATGGTTTTTTATGCTAAATCCTAGTTTATTATTAGGCAAATGTAAGATTTAAGGTAATCAGTGGTATCAACACTGCTTCAGGGCTTACAGTATATTCACATCAAATATACAGCAAAATCAAACAATTAATTTATACAAAAAATGTTGCTTTAGTTTAGTCCACCTGTTTCTAAAACATTGATACGACAAGCCCTTCAAATATATTTTATCAAATTATTATAAATTTACTTATATTATATTTCAATAATTATATTATTTTCTTAGTTACTATTTATTTTTTACAAATAATTTTGTAAACTAAATTATAAATTGCAAATATACGGCTATTATTAATATAATACTAATGTAAAACATCAATTATGACTATCATTTTAGAAATGTACATTACATTGATAAAAGAGATCTGTTATTTAAAGTCAAACATTTATTAGATTTTAAATTGCATAAAATATAAAGATTGAAAACGATATTCAAAATATTTGCCAAAATTATCACTCTTACTTGAGAGAGAGAGAGAGAGAGAGAGAGAGAGAGAGAGAGAGAGAGAGAGAGAGAGAGAGAGAGAGAGAGAGAGAGAGAGACTGTCCCTACTGGTGTATGACTAGTATGTGGGCTCTCAATGGCACAGATGGTCAATAGGTAACTACTGGTTGTGATACTCGTAGTATATTATTGTATACTATATTTTAAGATATTTATGTATAATTTACAGATAAACACAAAAAAAGTTAGACCAATATTGATGAGCACTGATTTTATCATTTTGACTAATAAGCAGAACTACTGCTGCTATAAATCTAAACCATTATAACCTATGGCTTATAACTTAACATAAACTTTTATAACTTATTGCACTTTATTTACAGAAATTTTATTTATTGATAATTTATAAGTATTAAAAAGTAATAGATTATAATTATTTAATATACTGTATTTAAGTAACTAAATATTTAAATATAATTATAAACTGTATTTTTACTATGTTATTATGATTAGTTTACTTATAATTTAAATGGTTTTTAAATGAAAAAAAATTATAATTTGAAAAGTAATCACATTTTTATGGGATACAAGTAGAGTCTACCGTTTCTCAGCATTGGATGGTCATCACTGAACAATAATTGTTATAAATATATATAAATATAATAATTATCAATTTTGTAAATTAATTCAATTTATTGTTTGTTAAACAGTAAAATATTAATTAAATATAAAAGCAAATTATAAGCAATTAATAACATGTAATTAAATTAAAAGCTAATTAAAAATAGTTAAATGTTTTAAAAAACTTATATAAAATATAATACAAATAGCGTATTTAAATATATTTTAAAATTGACTTAAAATATATAGATATAATATATTAACGTTATAAATCTATATTATAATATATAAAATATAAATATTTTTCATAGACAAAAGATAAACGAGGATATTAAAATTAATATTATTTTCATTTTAAAGTTTAATTGATTTATTGATGTTTTTGTTACTTATTTTTATTTTTTTTAATTAATATACAAATTGATAATAAATTCTTTAGTAAATTAATATCTTTAGATTAATAAATTTAATTTATTTAATTAGAAATATATATATTTATTAATTTATATTCGTCCTTCAATATCATGACCAGACTTTCAATATTTTATAATTCCTCTCTCTCTCTCTCTCTCTCTCTCTCTCTCTCTCTCTTTCTCTCTCTCTCTCATTTACACACATACACACGCATACATAACTTACATACTTTAAGATTATTATTATAATATAATTTTAAATAATATATATATATATATATATATATATATATATATATATATATACATTAAAATGCTTTATATCTAAGTTAAATAATAAGACCTGAAATCTTTTAATTATAAACTTGTTTGTAGGCATATATTGTGCTTAAAAAAATGTACTGTATATGTAAATATAGTATATTTATTAAGCTAACAATACAATGGCAACACCGAGTCTTAATTGGCATCATTTTTCATTGTGTTTGACAACAATAACAAAAATTTCTTTAATTTTTTAGCTTAAATGAAAATGAGTGAAAACAAACTAATGAATTCCCGTAAGGATTTATATACAAAAATATATTGTAATGAATAAACTAAAAATGAGTGTAAAGTTTTGATGGTTGGCTATTGTGGTTGAATTGTTTAAGTTAGACATAGTTTTCAGTGATATTCTGCGAAACGGCATTTCTTAGAGTAGTAACGATTTGTTGCTTAAAAATAATGTTTATCTTCATTGGTACTGACGGTACAGTTAAATATATTGCTGGCAAACAAAAGCAATTTTCTTATTACTTCACAAAATAGTTATATTCATATAATGAATGCACGTTTCACTTGTTATTTGATGGGACGGACCGATATGTGTATGTGTCGGATAGTTGATTGAGCTCATCCATACACATGATATTTATCGGTTTACATATAGTATGTATAGTTAGTAGGCCTTAAAATTGATAGTTAAAATTAGTATTTAACGTTGATTTGTTTAGAGTATGATTAAAGTATAACATGAGTTGAATGAGAAAAATTACTCCTCAAAGAGTGTACTGTATTTTAAAGGTACAGTAGGTTTTTTTTGGGTACCACCCATAACGTCAAATAGAGTAATGCCTGGTTGTCTACCACACCAGTGCCGGACCCAATGTGAGCCACCCGTGAATTAGTGCAACTCAGGAGGTCTTCAGAAAATTTGTGAAAAATAGATCACAAAATAAATTGTTTATACAATTTATTTTCTTTCATATATTTTGTCCTCCCAGTGCCGACACATACATGAGCTTATAACACAAGTGACCACTGGTCGCATCAATTGTCGTGTTTATCGTCATTTTCTATAAGTAATTGTTGACTATTGTAAGGTTTTAAAACAAAATTATAAAAATTTATATGTCTGGACCAAAACTATTTTGATAAAATAAGTAAAATTTTTATTTTCTATTTTTTTGCTGTCAAATAAAAATTATAAATGAAAAATAATTTTGAGTTTATTATGCTTCTAAAAAATATAGTCTGTAACTGACTGTTTTTCCTTTAAAAATACATATAATATACAGTTATTGTAAAATATAAGGTATTCATATCAAATAAATATAGTTTTAAAATATTATTAACTAAAAAAAAATATATTGATGTTTCCGCACTATACTTTGTTAACTATAAAGTAAAGTGAAGTTACAATATATTTTTTGACTAATTATCTGTTTATAAGGTATACAAACCACAGTCAATACATAACAGTATATACAAAGTCAGTATATTATATCTATATTATAAAAAAAGTCTATTCTTTATTTTATACTCTCACACATGTTTTGGTGAAAATATGATAAGCACTATACTATGCTATTAAATATGAATTTATTATATTTTGCTTTTAATTTTTTAGGGCAAAGTTTATGTCATGTTATTTAAACACGAAAGTCGGTCCAAACAATACTATGGACTCGAGGTATGTGTTTGAGTGAAACAAACTAGAAATTATAGTGCAGTCAATACATATTAGTTTTCAGTAGTTTTTTTAATAAAGCTTAGCAGTGGGTGAGCCGTCATATCTTGCCTGTCTGTATACCAGTGCCTTCGAGACTTTAGGATGGCTTATATAGCAATGATCTACGACTATCTAAATGATGGTCAGGTCAACAAATAGCCATAAGAGACGTTAAAGTTAGTGATTAACGTGATTATGATATATAACGTTATACCCAAAGTTTGCCATCAATTTTATAGAGACTGTATTATACTATTTATATAAAAACTGTGGATAAGACTTAAAAGAAACGGTATCTTAGAAATAGGACTGTACTGAGCAATGATACTGTAGTTAGTATCGGTTATGACCATCAAAATCAACATAAACATCAACAGCTATATAAACTGATAGAAAGAGCAAACCATTAATTTGCAGCTCAGATAACATATAAAAAGCTTCAAAGAATTAGATATCAATGTTAGAAATATTAACGGAAAGGGATAGAGAAGAGGGATAGTTAAACCAAAGCAACTAAATTAATACAACTTCTTAGATATATATATATAATATAAATAAGACAATCAAATAAAACTATTTATTATATGACTTGTAGTTTAATAAACAGACATACAAATAGACAAACAATAATCTGATAAAATATAAGTTTATGTAGTAATTAGACAATCAAAAACAAAACCAATTACATTATATTTTTGTGGCAATCTATGTATGCACTGCACGAACATTATATGTGTCTATATGTGTGCACCCAATGTGTTGGATGTGTTGGATGTGTCCGTCATTAATGAGTTGACTATCTCTAGAGTCTCGCAACCATTTCTTACATATGGATCGACTCTATTAGTGAGAGTCAATCAGATAAGCCATTGTGTGTCTCAATCAAGTAAATAGCAATTTATCCAAAATAACCAACTCTTGTGTTGTTATGTTTATCATTGCGATTAACAACAAAAACATATTATGACAAAACAAACCATCAAAACATAAATTTTATTTCAACTTTTTTCCTTCTCATGACATGAAAACAAACTTTTGTTTATTCAAGATTTTCTCTCTCTCTCTCTCTCTCTCTCTCTCTCTCTCTCTCGTAAATCATGTGGTTATAAATAAATTTAAAAAGAGACAAGTATTGGTCAGTTTGTAATTTTATATACACAGTGAATGTAAAAAATCAATATCTTTTTTAAGTGTTGACCACAACATGTGATGGGTCTATGATTGGCTTGTTTTAACACATTTTTCAAAATAAGACCTAAAGTTAAACCATATAACCAAAAACATCTCAAAAATATACTAAAGTTTGTATAAGTTTGTACTGTACTTGAAATGTTAAATACTTTGCTAGTATTGAGATTGAGATTCAATCAGTGTTTTGCCTTTAATGGCACTTAATGTCTGCAAATATTTAAGTATAACTGTCAAACAATGTAATCAATAAATTACTTTATCTTAACAACAAAAATATTAACACGTTTTTAATGTTGCAATATATACGGTAATAGTGTAACTGTTTATATATTATATGTATTGTTATATTTGCAACAAATCACAACAGGAATTACACTAACAATGTATATAACTTTCACAATATTATAGCAAAAATATAATCAGTTTTAAGTATTAATGCATTGCTTTTGCATTTATTTGTGAATTAATGCAATGATTACTTATAGTAGCACTTAATAATGCACTTATCTTCAAACAACCATTTGATTGATAACAGTCCTTATGGCAAAACAATTATCTATTGGGACTAAATTGTATTTATAAAATAAGTTTGACATAAAGTGATAAAATATATTTAAAGTTATTATACAGGTATAACTTGTTGTATGATTTAATTTATATGTTACTAATTAATTTTTTTTATAAATACCGGTATGATATATATATATATAATAATTAGGATGTTTTAACAGTCTTGTAATCAACATATACAATGTTAAATAAATCAATTATATCAATTGTTTTATATCATTTACCATAATATTCACATTTTAAATTAAACTAATTTTGTATATATTGTGTAAATTAAAGCATTAATATTGTACATAAATACTGTATACATATGTAAAAATGTACTCTATACAAAAATAAAATTAAAATAATATTAAAATATATTGTTTATTTGATTATTTATATGATAATAAAATTACACTATTGTATTTAATTTAAATAATACATTTTATTTTAATCAATATTATAATCTAAATTAAAACTATAAAGTACAGTAATTGTTATTATTTAGTTAATTAATGTATATTTATATATATAGTTCATTATATTGTATTTTAGTTTTATAATTAAAATGTTAGTTTAAATTTTGTGATAACGTTAAATTAAATGTAAAATTTACTAAAAATAAAAGTTTTTAATATAAATAAAAGACTATATATTTTTTATTTCTATTTATATTATAATATAAAACGTGTTAATATTTTTTTGTGGTTAATATATTTATATACAATATATATAACATAAGTTTGTTTTCTTTCAACTTTTAAAATGAGACTTTTGATTATGTGTTCATCTAATGAAAATAAATCGTTGACTCATTTTTTCTGATACTTTAAGAAACCTAGAATAATAAAATTGTTAAAAATTACTTTTTTTTATATAAAAAATGTTGCAAATAATAAAAGTTTTGTCTTAATGAAAATATAGCTTATTTTATAATATATTGTGTAACGAAGGTTTAATGTATATTAAAATAAAATAAAATAACACATTTGAGAAAAGAGAAAAATTAATAATAGTAAAAATCAATACAATAATAAGTATTTTTTATTTTATGATTTAGTGTGTAATAGTAGTACTACTCATACATTTATCTTAGATTTTAAGTATACTGTAGTGTGATTTATAAAAAATGTATTTATTCACTGTTGTAAAGCCAATAACATGAGACAACATGAAATGGTATATACTTTAATGTTTATACAGAATAATCTATGGTATATATTATATGTATAATAGTTTTTATTTAAAATATTATTTAAGAGCTTTATGGGATATGATATATTGACTTAATTTAAATTAATGAGAAAATATAGTAAATGGCATCATTTTCATTGGATATATACAGTACTTATTTTTATAACAAAAATACTTTAATATTATAGATAGTTTAAGAAATATAACTTTGTGTATATCATACAATATGAGCACCCGTAGTCTTAACACACACACATATATATATATATATATATATTTGCTATATATTTATAAAACTGTTATATCTATTTATTAGCGCTCCGGTAAATGTGGACAACTGCACAAAATCATGATTTACTGCCTTTTTTGTTTTGCAAAGACATCCCATTGAGTGTGAGGAGAGAGAGAGAGAGAGAGAGAGAGAGAGAGAGAGTATTAAATAAGGGAATTATTATTATTACTATTCAGTAATAGTATGAATGTGTTGTTTAAGACTATTTTTGGTATAAATATACTGTACTGTAAATGTAGTAATGCATATCTGAATAAATAAGAGAACAAAATAAAATAGAAAATACAAAAAAATCAGAAATAGACAATAATAAAAACTAAATGAGAGAAAACTTATCATAAATGTATCGGTTATCTCTCTCTCTCTCTCTCTCTCTCTCTCTCTCTCTCTCTCTCTCTCTCTATCGTCTCTGTCTCATAAATATAGTATTATATATATATATCACACAAAATGTGATAATAATATTGGAGAGAGATTTGAAAACGTCGGTAAAGTGCCGGAAGCCAAACGATCCGAAAGTCTTTTTTATTTATTTTACCGATCCATCTCTTAGATCCCTTTACTGGCATAACTGTCCCCCAAAGGCCATACTAGTACTACAAAACACAACACAACACACAAAAAATATTGTAAGAAAAATAAGAAAATAGCTTTTGTTTATATAATGGATGTGCTGTTTCTCCACTGGGCTTATGCTTTGTTAGCATCAAATCAGTTGCTTTTTGCAATGTATAGCCAACATAACCATTGGTCCGGATATATAAATCTAACTACTTGTCCCCAAAATTCCTATATTTTTTGTGTGCAATTACTGAATGTATAACTAAATTATAAATACTACTGAAATATATTTTATAATTTCAATACCAAAAGGTTTGAAGCCATACGTGTCCTTCTTTTTGACATTCATTTCACTTTTTTCTATCCATTCCCATACAAATACATAAATATATTGCAAACTTTAAAATAAAGCAATTAACGTCAGTTAAAAAAAAGTTATAAACATATCTCAGGTTAGTTTTATGGCCTAACCCTCCCTTTTCATGATATATATATAAACTAAAATTGAAAAGTATTACTTAAGATATAATTTCTCAAAGTTTATGTTTTATTTTTTTTATTAATTTTTAAATAACAAAATTAATTTTATATTTATTTATATAATATAGCATTTAGAATTTTTTTGTCATTTATTTTGGCTTACAAACAAATAAATTTTTGAATGTTTTAATAATGAAAAAATAGCATAGTTTATACATTAAAGAACATTTAAACAAAAAAGATATTTAATGTTTTTTAAAACAATTTTTCATTTTAGCTAAAATTCATGTCAGTTTGTTTGCTTGAAAAATAAGCTGCAATTATAATCATTAAGTTAAACGTTTATTTGTTGAAAACATAATTTGTTTGATAATTGGCTGCATTTTAACATTGAAAATATAGTTAACTTTTAAAAATCATATGAGTAACAAATAATTATTTTATTTTTTCTGAAAAATTTGTCCATACATTATAATATATTTTAATGTATGAATGATACATATTTTAATGGTTTATCATATATTTCCTGTTCATTTGTGAAATACAGAAATAGAGAGAGAAAAAGATAAAGATTTTTCAAAAAATAAAATATATTATTATATTGTTGTTATCACAATTACATTTAGATAAGTGACTCCACTATAAATTAGTTTTTATAATATATAGATTATAAATATCTGATAAAATCATTTCAAATGATACAATTGTCTCGTTTCCAATTGCTTATCATTTTTGAAAAACTTATACATTATCTCTATATAAATTAAAGTAATTTGTTATTTTTAAATAATATTTTAAAATTAATCAAATAAACTTATAATATATTAATATGACATTTGTTATTACAAATAGAAACTCAATTTTATTAAAAATTCAAAGATTATTTTTAAAAAATAATATAATTTAACAATTAATTATGATAAATACAAATAATAGTTAATTTATTATATGTATTATATATTTAATTATTTTTAAATTTATATTTAAACAAAATGTTTGCGAAAAAACCTTGCTAAAAAATAACACATAAGTTAGCATTAAAAATATTTATATGTTATTAAAAGTATTTAATGCTTAAGTTATGTTTATTTTGTGAACTAAGAAATTAAAGTTCATTAGAAATGACATTTAAATTAAGTTTTTAACTTAATATTAAATTATATCAATTATAAGTTTATAACTATTTTTTAAATTTGTTATATAAATAATTCTATGAAACCAATTAACAAAAAAAGTCTGTAATTATAATAATATAATACATAAATATTAAATAAATATTATAACAGTATTGAACACATCAGTGAGTAGTAGATAAAGGTGCTGATTGACCTTTGGACCCTTGACCTTTACATGTACATGGTACTGCGCATAAATGACGTCCATTAATTCAATGGGTCTCACACATAAAACGTTGCAATATTTTTTGCCCCCTATCGCGGGTACTCACATAAATTACGACCCAAAAATTTTCGCCCCCTATTTCGGGTACTTACATAAAAAACGTAAAATTTTTCGCCCCCCTTTTAAAATATCTAACGTACCACGTGACCATTTCGATAACCACGTGGTATAACCATCGCGCGATAATTGAATTAAATTTAATTAAATACAACTAAATTAAATTTAATTTAGTTGTATTTAATTTCGTTGAATTTAATTTTGTTGATTTTAATTTAGTTGTATTTAATTTCGTTGAATTTAATTTTGTTGATTTTAATTTAGTTGTATTTAATTTTGTTGAATTTAATTTTATTTAAATTCAGTTTATTAAATTTCAAATAATTTAATAAATAATTTAATATACAATTAGGATTTCATATAAATAAATAATGTAAACATTGGTTTATTTACATTTATACAATGGTTTGTTTACATGTAACCATTGGTTTGTTTACATGTAAACATTGGTTTGTTTACATCTATTCAATGGTTTGTTTACATCTAAACACTTGATTGTTTACATCTATTCAATGGTTTGTTTACATCTAAACACTTGTTTGTTTACATGCAAAAAATAAATAAATTTTACATTTTTTAAAAACTAATAAATTAAATAATCTAAATAAAATGTATAAAATAAATCATTCAATTCAGATAATGATTTAACACCAGTAAAATTAACTTTACCCGTACGGGAGATGTTTGCTTTTTTCTTGTCACCGTAGTTAATGATCAATAATGGAAACCTCTGAGGTTGATAATAGGCCCGAATACCAATAAATGATCCATAGTCCGCCAGATTTATTGATCGGTTAAGTGCAAAAGTAGCCACCATATTAGTTACCGTAACATTGTTTAGTTGGACATCAAAACCGAGCTTTTGAATCATACGCGCAAATCTTCTTATGGCTATTCTACCGTTATCAACTGAATTAGTCCCAATACATATTAATTTTCCCGATTGATATAACATAATTGTTGCCTTTGGTTTTCTTAAGCGCACAATTAAGCGAACAAATTTTTTATTATCATACACACAATTATTCAAACAATTTGTAATTTTTCGTAAATTCAATACTTTATTAAAATTAAACAAATTAGCAGTCATAGATACATTAGTAATTTGTAAATCATTATTTGTTAACATTTTTATTCATAAGAATATTAAGACTACTGCTAAGAGGTAAACTTGTTGGACGTTTGATGGGCATAGGGTGAATACCACATACGTCATTCCCAGTGTTTTCTGTAGACGCAATACCTGTGCTGGTTGAAACCGGAATTTCAGGCCAAGACCACACTTCATCGAAATAGCTTTTAGTTTTAATTCCAGGTGGCGTTGGAAGAAGCGATCGTGTATTTTGCTGATGATTGACAAATTTTGATGTTTTATCCGCGATGTCGTCAATTTGTTTAAGAATATTGTCTTTTTCGTTAAACAGTAGTTCCAGCTCTTTATATCGCAAATTCACCAAATTATTTTTGCTGTAGTTGCGGTGAAAAATTGATACACTATTGTTGTGATTGTCTGTAACAAATTGAAGTGAGCCAAAGGACACATTGACGGTACCAACTTTTTTCTCTTTAAACACAATTTCTCGTATAAGATTAAAAAAGTCGTCGGATTGAATTACCAGCAGATCATCAAACATTTTACCATCTTTTAGGTCGGTTATGATAATATAAAAAAGTGTTGAATTCAAATGTAAAACACATTTTACTGATACTACTCTTTTGAAATTATTAGTAGTACTAAGAGTTAGAAAAAAACCAGAAACTTCTGTGTGAGACATTTTCAATGGTAAAATAAAAGTTAACTACTGTATTTATATACAAAGTAAATAAATGTTGATGTAATTAAAACTTATTTTTATTGGTTATAAATACAATGATATATGCATTTATTATGTTAACTCAATAGTGATTGGTTCTGATTCCAAGTCCATTGACTCTTCAGGTACTATTTCCTGAATAGGTGTAATCGTTGACTCAATAGCTACAAATTTATTCCATATCCAAGGTTTTAATTTAATTATGTGTTTAATATCCATTCTAGTTAGTATCATTGCAGCTATTTTCAGTTGTTTTTGATAAAGTATTGTCAGTTTTAAATATGGGTCTCTAGTGATGTATAGCTCATTATTTTTCTCATTACGATAACCACTATTTCGTTGTTTTAGTTTTCCCACGAGCCATAAATATTGATCTAATTTTAGACAAACACTCAATAATGGTCTATAACTAGGGCTATGCTGAGTTATTTTAATTAATTGTATTACACTATTTTTATTTTTAACAGCAACTAATTTAATGACTTTAGCGTAGCCATCACAACCGGGAATTATTTTAGTGCTCATTATAGTACTATTATACTTGATGAGAGATATACTACATCAACATTAATTAGTCTTATATAGTAGTTAAAAATAAATAACAGTATATAAGTAGCATTATATATAAGACTGTAAAAGTAAAAGTCAAAAGCAATACAAATAACAATCAAAATGTCTACAAGTATTGTTGATACGCCTAAAAGAGTTTTTAACTATGAGCACGTTTACACTCATATTATTACAAATAAAAAATCTAATTTCAAAAAAGTTATTCGATTGAGTAAATCAGAAGACCAAATGCGTGTGGATATACGACTGGCTTTTGCTAATGAAGATGAGAAATTACAATATACGAAACGCGGTGTTAACTTAAATGTGGACGAGTTTCGTCATCTAATTGAAGATATTAAAGCAAAAGGGATTGATGGCAATATTGAAGACATTGGAGATATTGATAGGACTATTAAGTTCAAGAAAGATGATAAAGGTTTTTACAACATTATTGTTGTAAAATGCCTCTTAACATATGCTAGTGTTAGTTTGACGTCATATGAGATCAAAAATATAATTATACTTAATGATGAAATATTTAAAATGTATACTAATAATTAAATAAAGAGATTTAAATTTCATCAATGTTTATTTTATTGAGTTTCACTGTCATAAAAGCAAATGTGTTTTTCAAGTAAGTGTTTAGTTGCTTTAAAATGACTAAAGTGTATGGTCGCGATAGTTTTGATCGTTATGGTGACGACTTGTGTGGACTAATAATAAAACACTTACCTGCAAAAAGTAAAGTTACTTTACTTACTGTTAGTAAACAATGGCAACGAATGATATTTACAAATCAACAAACACTCAGAATTGCTGAGTTTGATGATGAATGGGATGTAGACCACAATAGTATAAGTCTTTGGTCAGATGGTTATCGAGAATCATTACAAAAAGTATCACAAGATTTTAAGCAAATCAAACTATTGGAATTTGATGTGTTTTATCGATTTAATGAGACGTTTTTTAATTCGTTTCGTCATTTGAAGCAAATTAATATTTATACGGCCGTTCAATGCTTAGCAATAGAGAATGTTCGGGGGATACTTCGTCAAAACTTTCCAGAACGGATAAAAGCTATACGTTATATGAACACAATTAATTTCAAGAATATGAATCAGTTTATTGAGTTTATTAATAAATTCGGTTCTAAAGCCATTGAATTACACGTAGGTGGATCAGTTGATAGAAATACTGTATGTAACCATTTGGCGACTCTACCTCAACTAAAAGTTCTCAGTGTGGATCAAAAGTTATGTCAAGGAAATTGGAAGTCAATTATAAATAATCAAAATATCACTAATTTAAGATTGAATTTTGTCGACTTTTACAACGCCATAGAACTGTACAATGTTATGCCTACTACACCAAATAAAATTCAGTTTACATTAAATTCATCACACAATATTGAGATGTATGACGATTATAAGATGGTTCGGTACTCATTGAAAATGCTTTTCATAAAAGGACACTTCTTGTCACCGTTTGATTTTGTCAACTCAGGATTCAAATGTCTTTATGTTAGAAAATTTAAATTATTTATTGCTCACAGAATGCTAGAGCCGTTTTGTATAAATATATTTAAGACAAAAATGATGGATATTTGTGAAACCGTTATACTCAACACAAGTATAAACATATATTTAAATGTTGACAAATATCTAAAGCCGCTAATAATGAAACCAAATATAACCACATACGTTTTAATGGAATACGGGTTTAATCAACGATTATTTGATTTATTGGTACTTAAAGCTGAGACTTACCCCGACAAAACAATTACTGTATCAATGTTTGGACCTCCATTGAATAAATACTGTAAAAATAATTTAATTATATATACTTATACTAAATTAATTAAAGACAATATTGTAATTACATAAATAAATTTATTGAATAAAAAAATTAATGTGATTGATAATAATTATTTAGCCATTTCCATAATAAATTGCATTTATTTGAAGCGCAGCGCAGGAGTTTTCGATCGGGAACAATTCTATTGTGAAAATGACACGGGAGACCACCATAAAATTGTTTAAGTTTTGAATAGTTGGGACATTTGTATTCATTGAGATTAATATACGGTATTTTCCATAAGTCCAATATAATTGCCAATTGTTGGTTTTTTATGGCCAAATATGGTTTATCGTGTGATTTAATTTTATGATACATCATATATATCACTTGATTAGGTTCGAGAGATGAGTTGTGAGTGATATCGGTGTTGTGGGCTCTCAATGAAAAGCCAAACAGATTGTTAGCCAAATATAAATTAGTTATACGGTCTTTAAGGTCCATATCAACAAAGCGAAGGTCTGTGTCACACAGTTCACACTGTTTAAGTGTATGTGATAACACACATACTTCCCGCGGATAAAACACGCCATCAACAGTGAAACCCTGTGCATCCATAACACCGCATATTTGATTAATTTTTTCCATTACTTACTAAAAAATTATGTCTTTCCGTACGAAAATTACTAAAGTTTAAGTAGTTTAGCAATTTTAGCAACTCTTCCAAGTCTTTTATATCATTTAATTGCTTGCCTTCTTCTATAAAGTATTTTTTAATTTCCTTTGAAAAATATGTTGACGGTTCAACCAAATATGGCGCGTGTAGATTTGCGTCACTCAAAACTATCAATAGTTTTTCGTCATATAGTTTCTCCATTTGTTTATAAACCACTCTATACTGACGTATATCTTTATACAAATGTGATAAGCTACAGCTGCCATCTGTATAACATATCTGCCAACTTATCATTAATATCACTACTGAAAGTAAATATTTTACAAAAGTTATCAAAGTTCGCGCCATTGAAATAATTTGATAGAAAAAATACACAATATTTTCCACATGTAGTTGAGTATACACTTTGAAAATTAATAGTGTTATAGAACCAACCACTACTACTGTTGTCTTTTATAAAGTTTATGATTTCTTTGTGTAGTGGGGGTAAGCCAAATGAATCAAAATAAACTACACTGTTATTATATTTATATATTGCAACCCAATGTTCTCCTGGTTGATTAGCTTTATCTGTATTTACAATTAATCCACTGTTATTAGGTATAGTATTAGGTAATTCATCTCTAGGATAGGTGCCATAATACTTGATACAGCTACGAAAATATTTATTTATTTCTAATGTATTCATGAAAAGTCTTTAACAGCAAATCGGTTTTTCTGTATTTCAATTAAACTATCGTATTCACAATATATTAAAGCAGTTATTTGTTCGGCTAAAGGGTAATTAAATTTTAATTCAATTCTAAGTCCACCTCTTTGTAATGGAGATACATAACCACTTTTTGCAACGCCATCTGATAGGTCAGGTATGAAATTAAATGCAAATATTGAAAAACCTTCGGCAAATTCATCTTTTGTAATGTCACAAGTAGTATGGCTCAGCTGATTACTAACTTCAAATAAACTAAAGTATTCTCTAATATATTTATCATTTTGAAAGTCAGGTGTATACGGTTTATGCGGGTACTGTTGACCATTTAAATAACAAGCAATATGCCGTAAACTATAGTGTTTAAAATAAAATGGATTAAGTGTTTGAGAGCCGTTATAAGCATCATTACTAACAAATGATATATACAGCTTCTAGGTAGAACACCACTCTCAACATTATTCAAACAATAATCAATACTATCCTTTGGTATAGTACATGTTTTTACTTCACGGCGGGTAATAAAATATAGTGCAGGTTTATCTTCTTCAAGCATTTTATTATGTGCTAGTACTACTTGTGAATGAACAATTGACCGATGAATATAAAGTCTAGTATCTATAATGTTAACTTTTGGAACAATAGATTTATCATACATTAAGTAGAAATCGGGAGAGTTTGGATGTATTTTTATATTAATAGTTACACCACCTATTAGTGATTTTAATTGTTGAGATAAATCCAAATGTAATTTTCCATACAATTCAATATGACGGCTAACTGCTAGTTTTTTACCTTTTGGTGATAACCGTTTTTGTCGCTCTAAGTTATTGAGTTTTTATTCTATTTTCTGTTAAAAATAATGCTTTGTTTACATTATTATTATTTTGTAGTAAATCTTGTTGTTTAGGGAGAGTTATAGTAAAACTTGTATACAGTGTTTTTATACATCATTTTATTGGTTTTATATTCAAAAGTGAAATTAGTGTTATCAATGTTGTATAAAAAATAGAGGCTTTGAAAATATTATTTATATCACTCATTATCACCAAAATAGCCAAAAATATAGCCCATATTTAAAATCTAACAACGCTTATGATGCGCTTATCAATGACTTAACATGAATTTAGTTTAATGTTAAATATTGAAGAAAAAAATATATAAAATGATATTAAGCTTTACTAAAGAATTGTTAATGTATTAGACGTTTGTTACTAATATCACTAGTTTTTTAAACTTAAAACTCTTATATAAAGTATAATATATTACATTAAATTTAAAACTAAACATTTAAATGAAAACATTAAAATTTTGTCATATATTTTCTAAAGTCTATATTTTTATTCATTATATTTAATATTATTATTGATTAAAATCTACTTTAAATACTCTCTAATGTTTATTTAGATACTTTACTATAATTGTATAATTATATAATTCAATAAAAATTAAAATAATATTTTAATGTGAAAAAGGTAAATTAATAATATAATATATTGTATTATTTCTAAATCTAATTTAGTAAGTTGTAAATTTAAAATGAATTTTATTTGTAAAATTTAATACAAATTAAAAGTTTGTTTTATAAAATCTATAATTGTTTTTTAAAATTTCAACTTTAAATTTGGTTAAATCATTAATAAAGAAAATATAAGTATCAAAATCAAAATGACATCTTTTATGAATATAGACAAAATAGTGCTTAAAATATAAAAAATTGTAATTTTGAAATTTTTACTTTTTATTAGTATAGAGCATTAAAATGTAAGATTTTCTAAACTAGCATTATATCATTTAATGAACATGGTCAAAATGACCAAAATTTTAATTTTTGTTATAATAAAATGATTAATTTTAAATATGTATGTTTAGCATAATATAAGTTATATCAAATAATATTTATCAGAAATGAATATTTTGTTAATAATATTGAAATGTTGAGAAAACTCTAGCAATTAGGATATTTTATTATTTATATTATTATTTATACTATTATAATGACAGTAATTGATGTCATTAAAATTTGTTTATGGCAATGCTATCTAACATTCTCAACTGGTTTTAATACTGTAACTAATAAAGTTTTTAAGTTTTATTACTACAGTATTTATATTATAAAATATTTAATACATATTAAAAATAATATAAATGCAAAATTAAATATATGGTAAAGTTTTTTTTTAATATATATTTTTAATTACGCTTTATATATATTTCTTTATTTTAATTAATTAAATATACTGCATTTGTAATAATTTAAATAATATAAAAATAATAAATTTTTGTTTATAGAAAACATAATAATTTTGATAATCGGCTTATTATAGTTTTAAAAATTATTAATAAATATGCTATAAGTTATTTAAAGGTAAAGTTTTATATATTTAATTTTTAATATACGGTAAATTTCATATAATGTTTTAAAACTATAATACCATTTAAATAATGAGACTATTATTTCAATTAATATTGTAAAAAATATTTATATAAAAATTGAATTATAATATATAGAGATGTGAACTATGTTTTCAAATATTACGGTTCATTTATTTGTCTGTTTTTTCAATCAAAAAATTTTAATCCGTAAAATAAGTATTTTTGATAATATGCAGTATGAAAACCGGTTTATTGTATAATATTTAGTATAAATTATTGTAAAAACACACTGTATGTGGAATTACTTAATTTAAGTTTAGGAAAAAATTAAAATTTAGTTTTTCAAATTTTTATGGTTTAATTTTTATTAGCATTGTATTATAAAGTTAGAATATAAGCACATGAAACAAACAAAAAAATGATAGTATATAAAATTATTTATATATTTATTTTTAATTACTGTTTATTTTTTTAAAATTGAGAGACAGATAAATTGATTAAGTGTGAGATAAGCGGCAAATAATTGCTTTAAATTAGAAAATAAATGATAAATAATTTACAAATCAATGGAAAACCAGTATATAATGAATCTAAAGTTATAATTAATTGTATATTAGAAAATATTTTTTTAAGATATCTTATAAATGTTGGTAAATATTAACTATTAAAACCAAATAATGTTAAGAAATAAAAACTGATGTCTTATCATAACATTGAAGGACTGACCCAAAGATGAGTCAATGTTTGCTTTTAGAAGATAAACAAAAAACAAACGGATTGTATATCTATAGGACTTATGATATGCTCTTCTTATTGATGATCACTAAAACATCATTACATTTATTATACCGTACAGTAGTATAGAGTATATTATAATAATAAAAAAAAAACAAATAAAACAGATTTATAATATAAAATCATTTAAATTACATATAAAAATGTCATTCACAATACACACATATTTATACACATTTAATGTGCCATTATTTTTATCTTATGTCTTATTTTTTTATAAGTTATTTATGTAAATGACAAAAATATTTTTAATAATTAAGATGAATGATTTAGATTATATTTTATATAAAAATAGAATTCAATCTATTAAACATAAAAATTAATAATTTATTAAAAAAACAAAATAAAATAATTAATTTTAATATTGATCTATAAGTTGTCTTAATCTCTATTTATCAATCATTTATTCACTAAATTACTTCAAAATCTAATTTTATTATATTTTAAAAAATGAATTGTTAATTGTATGCAAAAACATTTTAACATTATTTATAGAAAGTTTATTACTTATATAATAATAAAACATGGTTTAGAATATATACTATAAGATTAAAATTAAACATAAATTTACACATCGTATATACGTATAATAAATATTATATTTTATTATAATAATATATATTATAATAATATTTATTTAATAATAAAATAAACTTTTGAATGTTGAGATTACATAGCATTAAGTCGTGCAAACAAAAATAGCTAATGAATTGATTTTCAGACTTCAGTACTACAAAAATTAAGTGATTAACACATTCATTACTTTTCATGTAATATATATATAAATATTTATTATAAATCATAACAGTTTTTAATATAATAAAAATCAATAAAAAAATTCAAAAGTCACGAATTATTGTTATTATGTTTAATACGGTAATTGAAATTATTTCTATCAACTCTACATATATTAAATTCATTCAAATTGTGAACATAATTATAATCCATTTTCTCAAACCGTTTATTTTATGTGTTGTGTTTTATTTATAATTTAGTATATATTTAATAATTATAGAAAAAATGTAAATAAATTTTAATTAACAACATATGATTTCTTTAAGAAACTTATAGAAGTTATTATATATTTTTATATGCAATCGACAGAAAAATTAATAAATATTGTATTACTATTATTTATTAATATTTATAAATAAATAAATCTGATTTAATTATAAGTAATTTAAAGTTAGTTAATATGTGATAAACAATACTTTAGCAGTTGTAAGTTAAAACTTTATTATTATTATTGACATTTAAATATTATGCAATATTGTAAATCATTATTTCGATATTATACTAATTAATATTTTACTGGTTTTTAATATAAATGTGCTTAAAAACTAAGTTTTTAAAATTAAATGAAAAACATTTGGACATAACAACTATACATAACACTTTTAAAAATTGTTTTTTAAAAATTGTTTTTTAAAAATTGTGATAAAATAAATAAATAAAATTTATGAATGAGCGAATAAATAAATAAAAATAAGAAAGAAAGAGAGAGAGAGAGAGAGAGAGAAAGAGAGAGAGAGAGAGAGAGAGAGAGAGAGARAGAGAGAGAGAGAGAAAGAAAGAAAGAAAGAAAGAGAGAGAGAGAGAGAGAGAAAGAGAGAGAGAGAGAGAGATTATATATTTAAATTTATAATTTAAAATAAAAAACTATTGTACATATTTCATGTCTAATAAATCTTTATTAATACTATTCAAAATTATTTTTCATTTTTAATTCAATGACTTGTGAATTGAAAACGTTTCTTAATAAACACGACTACATGAGGACCAGCAGCTGTACCGCACATGTAGTTAACAAATATATAAATCAGTTTTTATGACAAGTTGTCAATGGGTTAATGTCTTCAAGAATTTTATATAATCGAAGATTTTCCAAAATTTAACTTAAAAGTGATTTTTTTAATGATATCTACAATTAAATTACAAAAATGTCTGAGTATTTCATTTTTTATTTGACAACTTAAACCACTCATTGACATTATTGCACTAAAAGTTATTGCTATATTTTTAATCATGATTTTAAAATATTTTTTAGTGATAAAAAATTTAAATTTTAGTAAGAATTTAGTTGATTTTGTTAGTGTTTAAATTATAATTTTTAACACTATTTACTAAACATTTCTTAGATAATATAGTAAATGGAGTTTTACTAATCAGTAAAAATTTTCATTAATAGATAAGTCAACTTCAAGTTAATTAATGGGCAAAAATGTTTTTAAATAACATTAAATATAATCATTTTAAATATATTTATTTTAAACTAATGTATAGTTTGTATATAATTTAATTGATTTTATTATCTACTTTATATAAGTTAGTAATGTATATTAATTTTTTATTAAACAAATAAATCTTAAGTATATTTATAAACAACATTTAGAATATTTTTAAGAAGAAAACAATGATTTTTATTGTTAAAACTCATAATAATTTAATTTTAGTGCTATAATACAATATACTGTATTAATATTATTAAAAAAAAATTAATTAATATTTTTCTTTCAGTTTCTTTAAGATTTAAATAATTT